AAACGAACACTCTATGGCTATGGACTTGATTGCAGGCAGATACGGAATCAGGACTGCATGTGACTCAATGCCGTCCGTGCGTGAGTTGTCAGCAATCTGTGGAAAGCGCCCTGCCTCTCTGGCAGGGCAGTACAAAGAAAAGAGAAGAACAAAAAAAAAGCAAAAAAAGCAAAATCTGAAACTAGCCATTCCTGTGTCTACATACATTTGTGAAAGTTCCCATGTGATCACACCTTGTTCTCAGCCTTCCCGAACCACTTTCATCTGTACAGGGTTGCTTCATTTTTTCCTTCTTCTTTTTTTGCAAGCGGGGCCACAAGGCCCAAACACTTCTTGTCTCCCTAGCCTCGCCGGGACCCCCTAAAAAAGCGGCGTGACGTATATTCCCGTTTTCCCCAAGGCTCAGGGCCTCGCCACACCACTCTTGAAAACGCGAAATTTCTCAAGAGTTGTCAGATTTTCTCAAGAGTTCGTGTTTCAAGAGTTTCGGGCTCTTTGCCACACAGACCTCTTGACAAACGGACTCTTGAGAAAAGGCCCCGACCGCTGGAGGACTTTCGAGAGTTGTGTGTGGCGAGGAGGCCTACTCTTGAGAATCGCTAACCGGCGGCCTCGGACGGACACGGTGACCGAAATCACAAGAGTCGACTCTTGAAAGTGCAGGCCGAAATCACTGACTGCTGTCAGAATTGAAGACCTGACAGCTCTTGAGAATCAAGCGTCGGTCGACCACCGGGCCGAGGACGCTTGACATATCGAGTGTTGCAGGCGGGGATTTCGGGTTCCTCAAGCACGACTCTTGAACCCGCGTTCTGACAGCGCTTGAAGTTTTTTTCCGATCCAACCTCTCAAGAGGCGGTGTGGCGGCACCGCAACTCTTGAAAACTCGTTCTCAAGAGTGGTGTGGCGAGGCCCTCAGAAAGGTAGTGGTGGGGACGCAATTTCCTTCCCGTCATTCTCGGAGCGTGTAGTTACCTAACCCAATAGTGAGCGCGTTCAATAGACTTTCCCTTTTTTCTTTTCTTTTTCTTGTCTACCTGTCCTTCCTCTGTCAGAGACCGTTTCCTATTGGAGCGTCAGAGGTCAGAGCTCCTCTATCCTCATCACGAGATCCACCAGCAAATCTGTGTCAACAGATCCCGAGTTCGAGTCCTACTCTATAACGCCAATACAATGATGGCAGTGCTTCCCCCTTCACGAAAAACGGAAAAAGTAAGAACTCTGGCCTCACCAACTCCCCTAGCTCAGTTGGTACACCACTGAACTGTTGAACTACAGAGAGTTCAAGATCCACTGGAAGCGAGATGAGTGAAATACTCCAATAGTACACGGCCTTAGCCTTGCAGCAAAATAACTTGTCGCCACAAGAAGTAAAAGGCGGGCTCGGGGCAGGGTCGGAGCGTCAGAAGGTTTTCAAATTTTTGGGCCCATCTCAGTTCGTACGTCCCAAAAAACTAAAAAGCCTTTGGCCATGATTGCAGTTGGATACACTTTTTGGACTACTCGTGCGAGTTTTTTTTTTTTTTTTTAAATAGGGCCCAGTGCCCAAGGCTAATATTATGGATGAAAATCTGAGGCCGGGGTCCTCACAGTCTACCCGGAACCAAGAACCTCTGGGAGCATTACCCAGTTTTGCTTTTAACGAGACCCATAGGGACCCGAAGGACCATGAAAAGGCAGATTATGACCTTTCTCTTCAAACTGGCCAAAAGTATTTAACTTACCAAGCCTAGATGAGCCGCTCCCCCCGCTCCAGCACGGCCTAACTATGTTCCATCTGTCCTCGTGCGAGTTTTCCCTCAGTGAGGGCACTTTAGCAGAAGGTAGAACACGGGGAGCAGGACTGTCTGACTCTCAAAAAAAGAAAAAAAGAAAAAAAAAAAGCCTTTGGCCGTGATTGCAGTTGGATACACTTTTTTTTTTTTTTTTTTTTTTTTTTTTTTTTTTTTTTTTTTTCCTGGAGTACTCGTGTGAGTTTGCCCTCAGTGAGGGCACTTCAGCAGAACGTAGAACACGGGGAGCAGGGGCCTCGACCGACTAGCCAAGGGTTACGCTTGGAGGCTGGGCTTTCGATCACTGTGTGGCCCGGGGTGATGCAAAACAGCCGCCGATTGCCCTCCACATCAACTGTGATGATGTTTACGAGTCGGGCGAGCGGTTTTTCCCGGCTGACGGCCAATTGGAAGTTTTTTTTTTTTTTTTTTGGTGTTTTTGTTGGCCACTTTCGGCGCGAAGCTTCAATAACAACAACTTTTGACCCATGGGGTGATATCCAAGCTTCGCGCCACCGGATTTTCGCTTGGAAAGTCTGAAAAAAAAGAGGGATGGAAGTAATAACGGCGTCGTTTTTGTGCAGTGCCCACAAATAAGGGCGAGAAATGTGGTGTCAGTGCATTCCTTTCAATCGGATGCATAAACCCTAATACGCGTCTACATTCCGAAAACATGGTCGTACGTTGCCTACAAAAGTGACTAGGTCCGGAAACAGACATGAGTACCTCTCGGGGACACAGCGGCGGACCTATTTCCACTCATTCGGCCTTGTATTCATGTCCCTATCACAAGGGCGGGCGCACATGCCCCCAATGTCGGGGTGAATCCATGCTTATTGGAATGAAACGGATATGGTGTAATAATGACGGATTTGGGCTCCTTATCAATGGGGGAAAATAAAATGCAGGAAAACCATTTTTTCCTATTTTTTTAACACATTTCACATGCCACACACCGTTTTACGCTTGGCTAGTGGGTCGTCGGACTCTCAAAGAAAGAACCAAAAAAAAAAGCCAGCACCCCTTTGCCCGTGAAAGTCGTTGGATGCATTTTTGCTTTTTATTTTTTATAATCCTTTTTAAAAAGGGGCAACGACCTTGAGATATTATCATTGAGCTGACCGGCCCCAGGCAATTCATTAGTAGTTGGTTTTTACTCATCAAGTTCTATCATCTGGACTCGAACCCAGGTCTGTATTTAACAGTCCATGGGTGTACCCACTGATATATATATACAGGCTCTTGGGTGTTGGATGCATTTCAACGTGGCTAGCGTGAGTATGCCCTCAGCGAGGGTGTTTTGAGCAAGAGGAATATGCGCTGCCTTGCTGGCAGGGCCAGGAGAAAAAAAACAAAACCAGAAAAAGAGGGAGAAACAGCAACTTTTCCCTCTTCCCGTAATAGTGGTCAGATGCATTCAGGAAAGTGATCATTTGCTTATGGCCTCCATGACACATTATTGCTCTCTGGTTTGTGTTCCTTTTTTTTTTTTTTTTTTTTTTTTTTTTTTCCGCTCAGGCAGACCGGCGCCACCAGTGCCACTCCCTGAATTCCCAGTGCCACTCCCTGAATTCCCACTGCAGGTACCCTCACGCAGAAGGCTCGGAAAATAGTGGCGCGCAGTGGGCAGGTAGGTTCGGGATTTTAGGTGCCGGTGTACTGGTGGTGCGGGTGTACTGGTGGTTTAAGGCCGGAGTTCGAGTCCCACTCTGTAAAGCCAATACAATAATGGCACTGCTTCTCCCCTTCAAAAAGGGCCAAAATGTAAGAACTCGGCCTCAACAACTCCCCTAGCTCAGTTGGTACACCACTGAACTGGGGCCTCTGCCCACATGCAAGGTTAAGTAGCAGAAAATGATACTGAGAGACACCAAGGCAGGCGGGAAAATCTTGTCTCCCTTCATACCAATGACTGGGAGGCTTTTGACGCCGTCCGATCGGCACAGCAGGAGGGCCATCAACCACCATGACGGGTCTTCAAATTGCTACATCTGTTGAGTTGCGTAAATACCCCTGCCTCTTCACGTGTTACCGGAAGTCAGTGCTTCATGCGAAGGCCTATTCTGCCCGCAAATTCAACCGAAGAGGAATTAGGGCGTTTACTTAGCTATGACACATTTTTGACGATAGTAAACTAAACGCCGCGGGCCTCGCCGTGTGCTGAGCTGACGTGCTTTTTGCCAATGAAAAGGTCTCGTTTGGGCTCCAAAGCTGCCATCTCCGTGCGCATATCCAATGACCGCTGGATTTTTTCACAATCCACGGAGTCGCAAAGCTGTCGCAAGTAAACACAACAAAGTGTAGTGGGCCGAGGCCCCTGGGGCCAAGTCCCACTTACCCGGATCCTCCATTCTCGACGGTAGATTGTGAAAATCAACGGCTAGAAATGAAGAATCTGGTCAAGTGGGACTTGGCCCCTGTTGAACTCAGACTCGAGTTCAAACTCCACTGGAAGCAGATGAGTGACCTCCATTCTGTCTGGCAAAAGGTGAGAGCCAGAGTAACAGAGCATGTTGGATCTGTCAGAATCTTTTTTTGTTTTTTTTTGTTTTTTTGTTTGTTTGTTTGTCAGAATCTAATGGATGCAGTGAGAGGGAGAAACTTTCGCGCCTCTGGTGATTCCCTCGGATCGATAGTAGCAGGGCCTCGCTCCACTGCACAAAATTTTAAATGTATCTGGTTCTGAAACGGGGGCAATACATTCAAAACGTCGATCAGTCCCAATGCATCCGGTGGGATTAACCGTCCAGATACATGCTACTTGTCGACGAACTGTGCGGAACGCCGCCCAGTAGTAGAGTAGTTAGCTCCTACTCCTACGAGTCGCTGTAGACAGACTTAGTCGCTGTAGACAGACTTCTGCTGTTTCACTGCTGTTTCATTCGACCCTGGAGCTGCAGTTGTCACCGCAGGGGCACTTACGACTGTAGGAATAGCGCGCCAAAATGTAGGAAAAGCGCGCCAAAAGGTTTGGGCCCCTAGGAGATTGCGCGGGAAGCGCACGAAGCGCGGGAAGAAGCATGACCGGGAATTTCGTCGTGCCCTCTGTCTGTTGTACTGTTGTATTCTGATTCCGCGGGGAAAGGGTGGTACGACCTTTCGGTGGCTTTTCGGGTTTGCAGCAGAAGCAGCTACCTCGGGTTTTCTCCAGCAGCTATGTCGGGGTTTTCCCAGCAGCCACCTCGGTAGATTGCGATCCCCGCCGCCGTGATCGTACGCTGAGTGCGATCCTCCTCCCTCCTCCCTCCTCCCCCCTCCTTCGTCTCCTTGTCAGGTTTTCTCCAATCAGCCATTCCTGGCCACAAGTGCTCCTCTTCTTCTCTTTCTCGCTCTCCTCCCTAGCGTGATCTTTCGCATTCCACTCCAGGATCTTCCCTTTTCCTCCCTTTTTCCTCTCCTCCTCCTCCTCCTCCTCCTCTTCCTCCTCTTCTTCCTCCTCTTCCTCTTTGTCTGGTTATCCTCCCTCCATCCCTTTTCCTCTCTTAACCCTCTCCTACCACCTCCTTTGCCCCCCCTTCTCTATCCTGATCAAAATGGCGTGGAAGCGGGAGGGATTCGATCTGCCGACACGTGTGGCGGCCATCGTGACACTGCTTCATATACTGCCGATGCTCTCATTGGGCCAAAATTTAGAAGGTATGTATTGCTTAGATTCCCGCCGCAAAATCACTCTCTCTGACTCTCTCTCTCTCTCTCTCTCTCTCTCTCTCTCGCTCGCTCGCTCGCTCGCTCGCTCTCTGCGTCTGTGTCTATTCTGTCTGTCTGTCTGTCTGTCTCCCTCCCTCCCTACCTCCTTACTCCCTCCCTCCTTCCCCGCCAGCATGGAGATATCTGTAGTTAGCGGCATATGGGAATGATGCTGGACATGGAGGTCTGAGATTGTTCGTGAATATTCTTTGAGTTTTCTCAGAATGCGCTGGAACGTTCTCAGAGAGAGTCTGGAACTTTCCTCTGTAGCAGAAGATGACCATCGTGGGGGGTATAAGCGTGAGATGATGCCTCACGCCGGGTGGCCATCATCAAAATCCTTTTTTCTTTTTCTTTTTTTTCTTTTCTTTTTCCTTTCAAACCACCAGTACATGACCCCAGCCAAGTTGAGAATCCAGTTGAGCCTCTCCTAAAATTCCGGAGGCTTAAGACAGGGCGTCCGAAGGGCTAACTTTTCGGATGAGAGGCTCATTTGGATTCTCCAGATGTACTGGTGGTTTTATACAATCTGAGAATCAATCAACTGTACTAGGTAGTGAGAATGACCTTGTTAAAAAAAAGGGAAAAGAAAAAAAAAGAAAAAAAAAGGACCTTGGGAACACCGACTTTTGCTGAGAACCTGCCGCAGAAGGGCGTTCTGGCGCGCGGCTTCATCATCCGTATCCCGACCTCCTTTCCTCTCCGCAGCCATTTTTTTTTTTTTTTTTTTAATCCATGTTTGTCGTCTCCCCTTTGCTCCGCCTTCCGCTCTCTCTCTCATCGTCCCTATCCCGTCCTTAGTCCATGGAACACGTTGTTTTGTAATGCGATTTGAATTTATTTCCATGGATTTTTTTCACTTGTTTCTGGACGTAGTAGCGGGCAGATATATGTACGGTTTCCATGGTGTTTGGCAGTTGTTTCTAGACGTAATGCTATTTACATGGAACACCTGTGTTGTTGTTGTTTTTTCGTGTTGTTTTTTTTTTTTTTTTTTTTTTTTTTTTTTGAATGATGATTTATCGGTTCCATTGGTAGGGACGGAGCAGCACGTGCTGGGAACAAAGGCCCAGCTGGGTGGCTTGACATCCAAGGAGGAGCATCCAATTTTTTCTCCCAAAAAAAAATAAAAAATAAAAGAAATCCATCACCTTTCGAGCATTAATTGCCATCCCCGCAGAGGATGGATAAGATTGACTGGAATGGGATCCCAACAAAGTGATCGATTAGACTTTGTTCGGGAGGCAATGTCGGGGACGAGGTGCCATTAGCAAAGAGAATGAATTTGGACGTCTGTGGAGAGGTGCAGAAAAAAAGTTCGATCGATCGATCTGCGTTTGTGCATCTGTGCTTAGAACCTATCGGGATCCAGGCGCTTAATGCAATCCTCTTTGCTACCGGGACCTCGCTCCTGCGCTCAACCTCGCCACCCGTCGGGGCTGCCGTATCCATCAGCAGCCGATTACCATCTTCAGCCGAATAGAGCTCCTGGTCAATATATCTGTATGTGGGCAATTTTCAGTCCAGATACAGCCGTAAGCACCGGGCGTATTCTATCCCGGTAACGACGGCAGCCAATCACACCGCTATTCTCGAAATGTATAGGGGGGAGAGAGAGAGAGAGAGAGAGAGAGAGAGAGAGAGAGAGATCTTAACTCTTATATCCTCTTGAAACTCGCCTGATAAGATAGCAGACCCCTTTTCCGAACCTGCAAATTTCGGTTCTTTTTTTTTAATAAATATATAGAGTGGAGCTTTCTCACCTCTCCTTGTGGGCTATTTTCTTCGTGTTCCTTCTACATAAGCTCTTTTTTTTAAAAAAAATTGAACCCCTTTTTATGTTCTCCAGTTTGTGTTGAGGATTTCTTGGGTGTCTGTCTGTCGGCCCCTCTCTTCTCCTTGAGTTTCAAGTACAATCAGGACCTTTAGGATGTGCCAAACGGTCAGGTACTCGTTTTTTTTATTTTTCCCCCGAACATGTAGGAAAACTTGATTACACGTTAAAAAAAAAAAAAAGGTTATCGTCTAATTTGTCTTCATAGGTGGTTTCCAAGACGTGGTCCCTCCTTTCAAGTTGATGAGCATTTACAACCTACCAAGTGCTGTATGCAATTTGACAAGTTGACGTTCGAACACACGATCTGTGCTTTGGAATTGCCTGTCACAGTGAAAAAAACAAAAACAAAAGAACTGCCTGTAACTGTGTACCACTATTAGCCAGTTCCTTTGTTTTTTTTTTTGTTTTGTTTTTTTTTCTTTTTCTTTTTCTTTTTCTTTTTCTTTTTCGTCGGAAAATCTCGTGTGTCGAGGATGGCCCTGTCTATCTATCTGTGTGTCCCCCGCGGCCCCCGCAAAAAAAAATAAAAAAATCTCTGTGTTCCATAGTGGGCACGAACATTCGTCAATTTTTTTTTTACAAAACATCCGGGTGTCCTTTGGCCGTCGCACTTGCAACGAGGATTTGAATTAAGCGCCTGAATTTGGACGTGTTTTACGCACAGATGCAGAAAAGCAGATCTATGCACTGATGCAGAAAAGCAGATCTATGCACCGATGCAGAAAAGCAGATCTATGCACTGATGCGGAAAAGCAGATCTATGCACAGATGCAGAAAAAGCAGTTCAATTGCGATTTTCTGCACCTCTCCACTACCACGTCCAGGATCAGGTGTTCAATCCAATTATCCTCTTTGCTAATGGGAGAGGGAAGTACGTTTATGTCACGTGGGAGTTTGTAATGGGCGGAAAAAACAGGCAGTCTGCAACTTTGTCATGGCCTGAGTTTGATAAGGCGGTTGTAACTCAGGCAGGCAGTGGTGTCGGGTGGCAGTTTCGTTAAGGCGATTTTTTTTTTTTTTTTCCGCGACTGTGACCCTGACCCATCACGGCCATGGCCAGCTGCGGGCGTAGCCTAGACATTGCGGCCGTGGCCCAGCCGCGGGTGTCGCCTAGAGGCCGGGCGAAAGAGGAAAAAAAAAAACAAAAAAAAAACCTGATGCCAAAAAAAAAAAAAAACACAACCGCCTTAACGAAACCGTCACCCTGACACCACTGCCGGCCTGAGTTACATCAGCGTTTTCGAACTTGGGCCATGACAAAGTTGCAGACAGCCTGTTTTTTCTGCCTTTGCGAACTCAAAACGTGCCGCGTCGGCCTTTGTTTCTAGATTAATTTAGTGTCTCTTATGCTGTAGTTTTCCAATGCACAAGATTGAATTTTGATCGTTATTCTCACGTTCATTGGCTTTGTTTCTCATAGGCTTTGTTTCTCATAGGCTTTGTTTTTCATGAAGGTAGCTAAGAATGAATGGTTTCATAGCATCTTACTGCTTACTCCGCAGGCCTGGGTAACCCTGCTGCCCACTAATAACCTTAAACCACCAGTGAGTGCTTGGCCCAGCTATCGTCCGCGGGAAAAGATAAGAGTAGAAACGGTTGTAGTCGGATGAATTTGGGCATTCCTGTAGTGGCCCTGCACGATTCCTAAACTTCTGGTTCAGGTTCGGATCCCACACTACTTATGGTAAGTAAAATTGTAAAAGAAACGAAAAAGATGGAGGCGGGCGGGACCGAACGGGAAAGAAAAATTGCATCCCACACACCCGTGCAAATACGAACTTTTGTTCTGGCAGCAAATCTAGCACGCTAGCCAACCAGGACGACGAGAAAATACACACACACACACACACACGAAAAGAAAACACCCTTCCATCTTTTTAGCGGCAGGGTAGGGGTTCGCCTCTCTCTCGATTTCCTTAGGCTCGGATCCCACACTAACTACTTTCTGGCAAACTTCGGGATCCCACCATTTTCTGCACGAGTAGTAGGGGCCGGCACTGCCATCGGATGAAAGTGGAAACGTTT